ACATATATGTATATATTCCCTTTCAGCATACTAACATTCTGAAAAGTTAATTTATAACAACATTTGAGTCTTTAGAAACATCAGTGGCTGTTGAAAATAAGATAATTATACTTATAAAAAATATACATATATTTGCTAGAACTATAATGTAAATTTCTGATGTACTACAACACAAAGCTGTCTGTCAAAACAATATAAAGTTTTGCTGAAGCTTCATATATTACACAAAAATTTATTTTTTATTCATAATTAAAATTAATATAATAATCAATCCAATCTTGGTCCAGCAGTGGACCAAGATTAGCTAAATGATGATGAAGATGTAAGATGATGAGAGTAATAAAATAATAAACAATTGTCAACTGCAAACTGTCCTGTCTACATCTTAAATAGGATAAATTACTAAAGGAAAATCATTTAAAATATATTTACAACTCTTTAGTATAAAAATGAAATATTTTAAAGACATATGATTAATATTATTTATATCACTTAAATAACTATTAACAATCACAAGTTATTTTATACTTATAAAATAAAACCACTGTTTAAACTATCTTCCCGTCTCCAGTCAATGTCTCCATTTTATCGGCTGCCTGCAGGGTATTTGGTATATTTAATAACTACGCGAGTGAACTTCAATATTTAATAGCTTCCGTGACTAAAATCTTTCATATTTCTTAAGTTAAAGTAGAAACAAAATGAAACAACACTAACAATACAATTGTTTTAAACTTTGAGCTGAAATATATGAATTTTATGAGATGCCAAAAAAATTGTACATAGTTATTAATGAATAGTCGAATTGAGTAATTTACTGAAATGTCTGGTCTGCTAATTGCAATAGTTGGTTGTTGTTTTCTTTCTTGCATTACATATAGATTGTTTCACTACTACAAGTATTTTTTTTAATATTCAACATTGTTTTTATCGTTATCGTTTAACTAACACTAAATATATATTTATCACTTTTTTTTATATTTATGGTATTGGTAAAAATGTAACATACATATATTCCAATATAATATTAACTCGGCGTTAAAACAAAAAAGGATTTAGGATTCGTATTTCTAATAAAATTTTGATTTGTTTTTCCAAATCGCATTTGATATAATTCTTAACTTTAACACCTATTCACTTTTAATTACATTATGTAACGATAAAAGATTAATTAAAAATATGCGCTGGAAAATGTATATGCTATTTTTAATTATTATTTGATTTTAAAGCTGTTGCAATAAGAAATTTTGTAATTTTATGAGGAATAATGTTTCAATAAAAAATAATTGATAAACTTTTTACATTTTTTATTATATTAATGTATATATCTATACAAAATGCATGCTAAATTAAATACACATATTACCATATTGGTAGGATATAGAGTTTAATCAATATTTATGGTATATTTCAAGCACTTGGTTTTTCTCATGATCTTACTCTCATAAATCTAACAAAATATAATTGTCTTTTGCGGGAATAAATAAATATAAGCTCTATTCTATATAACACATAATAAATATTTCCCTTAAAAAGGTAAAAGGGGAGATAACTGACCAATCTTGACGACTAGTAAAGAATAAATTACTAGTAATAATACATAAAGGATAAGCATAAGTATATAACTATATAGATAGGACAGTTTCAGCCAATAAATCCAGTCACATTTCTGCCAAGGTCGTCAGAGCAACGCGATGACGTCATCACTCTAATACATAATTTCCACTGAAATTACAGTTCTGCCGTACGATATGTGGCTTTTACATAACATTTTTAGATTCGGCTTAACTTTTTCTATCAAAATGCAAGATGACAATAATTTTATTTTATTCTGATGAGCTAAAACGAAAAATATTTTATATTTAAATATCAAAAATGTACCTATTTAAAATTTTTATGCTTAACTTATATGATATTATAATAGCGAGAGATTTAGAGTAGATACGAATAAGAAAATACTTAACAAAGTATTTACTTATTCGGATTTAAAGAGTAAAATTTATTACTTGGAATCAATGTCGTTAAGTTATTTAATTAACTCGGTTTTCTTCAAAATTAAATCTCATGACTAGCTTTTACATCGCATTAATTATGTAATGACGTTATGAGTAGAAAGGTTGAAGAAAAAGTATAAAGATTATTAATAAATTTTTTTTCGACTTTCTAACTATCACTACGCTTTCATCAGATACCTATACCGTGGTTTACAATGAAAATAACTTGTTGGTTTAAATATGAACAAACTGAAATTTCACACAAAATTTCACATAAAGTTATTTGCTTCAAAATTAAGGTGTGAGACTTTCCCAGAACAAATTATATACACATACATGGCAAGTTATAAAATAAATTGTATAAAGTTTAGTGAGCAACGTTTTTTAGACAAACTAATTAATAAAAATGTTTCCCGATTCACACACTTGAAAACTATATCCTAATTAGTATCTCTACGTAACAGTTACTTAACTGGTACCAATATTCCAAAAGTTTCATACTAATCTGCAGGACCATACAACTATATTTCAAATTTGCTTCAATATTTCTCTTTATAACATTATCGCTACGATCAAAGTGTTGTCTTATCATCTATCTCTGAACTTATGCACGTTTTGATGTTACTAGGCTTGGATGTAAGAGTTTTGAGGTATGATTATTGACTTGAAGAGCGCTTACCTTTGTTTCACTAGTTTAAGGTTGATGAAAATGAACACGAACGAAAGAATAAGAAACGAATGAACGATAATAAAAACTTAAATCCATTTTATTATTTTTTATCAGTATTATTTATGCATAAACCCTCATAGCTTTTTTTAATATTACTACTAATCCATGAGATACGACGTTTGGGGATCAATATTTTTATGTCCTTTTGCCAATTAAAATAGGTAAATATAGTTACATCGAAGCAGTAGAGCCTATCTGTAATCGAATGTCTAGAACATGTGTCTCGGTCGCACAGTTAGACTTACTTCTTCACGGAGATTAGTTCTCAAGAATAGTTTCGTATTGTTGAAATAATATTAAAGCCTTAGAAATTACAGAAACTTGAAAACTTGCTGCAATAATTTGGACTTATTTTATTTAACAAAGGGAAACTATGCATCTTCTTAAATTACAGACTTCGAAGTTAATAACTACTTACCTTTATATACTTGTAAGCCCTCAACTTATTTTCGGTTCGTAATTAATTAAAGCATCAAATTACTATAGTACTTATAAAAATAAATACTGGAACTAGAAAAAACTCGATAACGAATACCTTAAAATGCGATTTGAATGGACGCATTGGAAATTCAAATTCTAACTATCATTTGACTACACGCTGGAAAAGTTTTTACAACATTTTGCACGAAAAGGATATTTAAGTGAACAAAAACCAAAATGCTCCGAATGTATTTACATAATTTGAGAAATTCAAGAGTCACGAGGGATATTTTGTGGGACTATATTTTATTAAAAGTGTGACTGAAAAGTTTTTTGATAGACTTTCTATTTATTTAGACAAGGTTTTACAAAATAAAATCTCAGTGATAATAACAAGAACAAAAAAATAATAACAATTTATGATTTTCTCATTAATTATTTTATTAAATTAATTAAAAATATTATTAATTTAAATTTAAAGTTGACATTAATACAATCTGGTCAATATCAGATTGAAGTTTTGAATAATGTTTATAACAATGTCAAACTTACGTTTTTTTTCGGCTACTGCCCAGAAATGCATGAGCGAAAAACATCTGATCCACTTATTATAAAACAAATAACTGAAAACTTCAAAGAGAGCAAATATATCGTACTTATATTCCATTAAAAAAACATATGTATTGATATTATGTTGAAAACTCATAATAATATGGGTTCTTTCTCTAATATTTAAAACATAATTATCCATTAATTAATTAATCCTTAAACTAAAGTTGGCGAATCTTGATAAATCTTATCAATTTTTTTTTGTATTTAACTGTAACAATGTAATTTGACATGATTCACTAAATTGATTGAATGACAAATCACATTGAAACAAAAAGGTCTGAACATAATCTTTACCTTTATCTGTTATGTTTATTCAAGGACATGAAACAGATTTAAAATTAAAATAAAAAAACGAAATGAAGCTTCTCAGCGTTCCATGTATTCACGGTGCGTGTGTCGGGTCCAACGTTGTAGGGAGCTTCAACAGTGCCTGGGACTAGCGACCCTGGTGTAGGTTTAAGAGGGCCTTACCTAACGCGTGTAACCTCTCACCTCCACTGTCCAAGCTCCTCTATCTCTAAACTTTACTTAAAATTAAAGTAAAATATATAAAGATTCTAAACATTCATCACAGATATCATCGAATATAATTGTAAGTATTAAGGTTTAAGTAATTATAAATCCTTGTAAATTATTTTCAAATAAAAGTTAAGGTTTTTTAGGTGGTAGAGCCTAGCTGTAGTCAGTTACTACAGCTCGAACGTGGGCTGGCTCGACCGGGGAAGTACCACCCTCTCATAGAAGATCGGCGTAAAGTAGTCTTTACAAGACTGCGTTTCGTCCGGTGAGTGAGAGAGCCGGTTGCCCTTTCCCTTTTTCCCACCCTTTCCTTTTCCTCCCTTTCCCACCTTGTCCTCCCCCTTTTCCCCAATGAAGGGCGGCAACACATCCGCAAATCTACGTTGCGGATGTCTATGGGCGACGGTAACTACCTACCATCAAGTAGGCCGTCTGCTCTGTTGCCCCCTTTTCCCATAAAAAAAAAAAAAAAAAAAAAAAGGTTAGGTTAATGTAACATTTTGTATCAGAATAACTCAAAATAAACTTAATTTTTTTTTAATTAAAATGTATGTAAATACATTTATTTGTAAAATTTATCTTGTCCTTCAAAATCTTTCTTATCAAATAATTACATATGTATTATCATATCTTATTTAAGTTTGCGGTTTCTTTATACAATACACAATTTATTTATTTAATAAAATACAAAATAACCAATATAAGTTCTTTAATAAAATTCACTATTACCAATGATCATCGCTAGACATACAACCAGACTTGCTCTCAGTGAGCTTCATAACTGATTTTTCATCAGACAATACAAAATTATTATCTTTATCAAAAGCTAAACCATGAAGATTCTTCATTTCAAGCACTTTTACAAATCCTTCAGTCTTTTTTTCCATAAATAAACCAATATTAGTGCAAACATATAGATCTCCATTATTATCGTCAACTATTTGTCTTACAGTTATTAAATCGTTTAATATTTCAACTACATTCACAAGACTGTTATACTTATATAAACCGGTTTTATTTGCAAAGTATATAACATTGTCTGTATTTATATGGAAGTGATCAACTTCCATTCTCTCGAATTCCTTCACAGGTGCGAATTTACCATCAACTTCTATGTGTAATTTTTGATCTGGATAACTTATGTAGAAGAGATTTTTCTTGTAAAATAATGCCCAGATATTGACACCTTTCTCTTTATAGAAATCAGCTATTTTTGTCATCACATTATATTTGTAGATTCCATCGCTACCTCCGAGATAAATATCATCATTAGCTTGATCTATACCAACCGCGCAACCTCCTCTAATACCAACGATTGTTTGATATTCCTTATTAAATAAATTATAATAGGCTAATTGAAAATCAACATCTGTATATAATTCGGGAACTGTATAACTAAAAAATAGTGTATTAGATCCTCTATGAATGTTCAGATTGTAGGGTCTTCCAAGATTTTTCCATATAATTTCTTTTTGGTACCAATTATTTTCAATACGTATTCTATCACAAGTACCGTTCGGTATGAACATTCCAGGTTTCACAATCATAAATATTATAAAAACTATGGTAAACATATCTGAAAAAGATGAAAATACATATATCCCAGTTTGTTAACCTTGACATATTATAACATACATATGACTCATGATTGGAATGAAGCAAAACAAAGTAAGCTCTGATCATCCTCTGCAATGTAAGATTTAACTTCTAAGTTGTATTTGTGTTGCAATCAGAAGAACTAACAAAACTTTTACTTAATTTACTTGGTAGATACACACAACAATTGGATACATTGTTACGAAGGAAACGTATCAATTCACGACTAAATTCTGACTTTGGCAAGTATACACAAACGCGTGGCGTGTAGCCAATTCTAATTTCCTTACAAAATAAATCCTCTTCCTATACTAGCGCGTTATTTTCTCGCAAGAGAACAAAGTATCCAGTTCAGCAGAATGAATGTTTAATCAAAATGTTCGTTATTTATTCCATGAAACTCAGCAAATATTAAGGACCACGTATAACGAGAATTTAATTTGGGTAATTATTTTATGGTAAACTAAACTCCACTGCACTTTAACTATAGTTATATTTATTATTATTGCTATATTGGAAAATAAATATAAGATTTTTAAAAGCTTATCATAAGGTCATAACTTATATCATAAGGTGATAAATTCATAGCAAATTTTGTTTAAACATTTATAAAATTTTTAAACATTTATAAAATTTTTAAATGGGATGCAACGTAATATATACATAATTACAAAATATTTACATACCTGATTATACATTAAGATCACCGTTAAAATTGTAATACATTTAAGTAGTTATTTTTAACAAATTAACTCTCTCAAATGACATGTAACCCGAACCTTTCAATAAGTCGTGATATAATGATTGAATCATTTTGTTTATACCGTCTTAGTTGTTTGCATGTGGGATGTCTATTGTTTTATTCAATATTTAAAAACATTAAACCTATATAAAAGTATTGAAATAATAATATTTTATATTTACCTTTGGATGACTTACTATTATCTCACGAATTACTTATACATTTACTAACTTATTAAATACTCTCTGAAACCCTTTTCTTCTTTCTGTAATTGGGCTGTTATCATTTCGTAACAAATTAAATTCTTCTTACTTGGAAGTAATCTGTATATTGCATTTTTATCAGAATATATCACATGATCTTTTTCATCAAATGTCATTCCAAATGCATTATCAATTTCAGCCACTTTCTTTATTCTGTGATAAGGTTTATCTTCAACGTAGATTCCACTACTACCACAAAAATATATATCTCCATAGCTATCTTGCACTATTTGTCGTACCGCTATATCATCATCCAATACGATAGTACTCTTACTAACCTTTTCTACTTTATATAGCGCTGTCCTGTTTGAGAAATACACGTCTGACTGTTTAGTGACGAAGAAATGATCAACTTCTATCTTAATCGCCTCTTCAACCTGCACAAATCTGTCATCTACATATACATATAGTTTCTGTGTAGGATATTCAATGTAGTAAAAATTCTTTCTCACAAACAATTCCCATATAGACTTGCCATCCTCCGCAAAGAATTCAGCGGACTTTGTAAGAAAATTATACTTATAAATCCCATCGTGACCACCGAAATATATATCATCGTTTCCTGGATCGTACGCAACAGCGTAGCCACCCGCCACTCCTTCTATTGGCTTACAAGTTTTCTTATTTAAATTACAAGACATTATCTCAAAGTCTACTTCCGTACCTTTTTGGATTGTGTGACTGAAGAATAGCGTTCCAGAAAATTTATGGAGCACCAAATTGTATGGCCTGCCAAGATTTTCAACTAAGACTTCCCTGTCGAAATAGACGTGGTCGAATATAAGACCGTTGCATGAAATATCTTCTTTTTTGGCAACATGTTTCATTGCTACAATAGGTAGAAATAACAGTAGGAATAATAACATTTTATAACGTTTAATTTTCTTTAGTGTCCGTTACGTAAGTCCCTAGAAAATCCTCCGTTGAAATTTCGTGTTTTTATTTCGAGCTACGAAACGACAATGTTGAATGGTATCTGTTATCGTTCGTTTTACTGTCTGCCTTGTATCCCGACGCAATTTAAGAGTACGCACTAAAAATAATAAAATATAACTCAACAATACACCAAAACATTCTTAACTAATTATAATCATTATTATTTCATACGAATAACACACATTTAATTTATTTTATGTACATATTAATTAATAATAATTTATATGTTCATAACATCACTCACAGGACGGTACAAATCCGTTATTAGTGTAATATAAATGGCGCGTCAATTAATCACAGACGTCCTGAAGAATTGACTTTATACAAATGATGAATTGTTTAATATTTGAAAATAAAAACAAAACAAAATACAAACAATTTTCTGTCGATGTACAGAAGTGAGTAATTGATCGTGACTGTTTGAAAGTCTTTTATATATGACATAAACTGTTACGTTCAAAAAAAAAATACATTTAAAATAATTAAATAACTATTATTAATTGCTTTGAGACTGTGCCTTGAAATAGTTTCAATGCTATTATCTAGCTGAGATTCTTTTTACTTTCTACCATATAATAAATGTCTCCGGACACTATTTCTCAACGTTGTGTGACTTTTGAAGTTAATAAAGTGTTCATAAATCATCTCGGAACGCTTTTACGTAGCTGGAAATGAATATTTTGTAAATTGATGTCTCCAACTGTAATATAGAATGATGGACAACATGACGTGAAAGATATATGAGAAACTTTAATAATATCATATAATTTACTTAACTATTATAATATCTAACTTTCAACTGTCTTCAAAATTAAACCTTTTTTATTATGTACATAGAAACTGCTTCACAGCCAAGCATCCCTGTATATGTGATATAGATTTATTGAATAACAGTTATTTTTCTTGCTATAACTCTGTGGAACTTTTTAGGAAAAACAATGAAAACCAAATCGATTTAATCGATAATGAGTACATTACCTTATACTATCTACAAATATTTGTATTCAACACAGAATAGGTACTTTTTATATGCCTCTCACAAACTATGTTGTTACTTGTATGGTATTTGAAAAAAATATCGCAACTTGAATGTAATTGGCCATAAAATTTAGTTGCTATGCGCTTTTATAAGTCACTTCGTAACTAGAAGACCTGGAGACGAGTCAGCAATAAATTTTGATCATATGCAGTTCATTTTAACAATGTAGTTCAACATTAAGTTCTAACTTTTTATTTGAATGATTCAAAATATTGAAGCAATAGATGACTGTACACTAAATTACCTTTGAAAGAAATGTATATTACATATAATCATGTAATTTATACACTAAATAATTGAAGAATTGAAACTTCGTAATGTTTAAATGAAAACAAGAAGAGATCAAAATATTTTTAAGGAATTTTTGGTCTCTCTTTAAGACAAACCTTATTAACATTACTTATAAGTCACAATTGATTGCCCACATACGTGGGCATCTATAAGGAAGCGTTAAACGTTTAACGCAACCTTGTTGGAAGTCGCGTGAGAAGTTTCACTTCAATAATATTGGTAAAAAATAACTGAATTTGTACCTTAAGTAGTATATACATGATATTATAGATAGAATAAAAAATATAGTCGTAGGAATGAAAATTTTCAAAAGTGATTTTAATATTTAATTGACTGGAAACATATTGTGGAATTTACTTATCTATTTTACTAACTTTTTCTTATTCTACGAGTTACATAAAACTTACAAAATGATTTATGGTTATTAATACGAGTATATGTATATATTTTTTTATCAAAGACTTTCGCAAGTATTCATTAGAATGAAACTGTTATTTTAGGATTACTACATATGAATTTTATTTTTTTTTAAACTACATACTCTTGAAATTTCAGTTACTTTGCAGCAACCGTGATCACAGGCAGACTAGATGAAAATGTCTTTCACAGACATGTCTGTAACCGAAACGTCGAGAGTATGTAGCTTGAAGTAATAGAAAACGCGTTGTAAGCCGAAAATATTACTTATATACATATATATTTTTTAGCCTTTTTTTATTTATTCTTAAAAATAAATGAATATAACTACTATATCATCTAGAAGTCTCCGACAAATAAGGTAAAAAATGACATAATTTTGTTGACCACGCTTTGTTTTTCAAATTAAATGTTTTTTTTAAATATTAACACGTGAAAAATTTCACGAGAAACATATTTTATTTAATTTGCGTACTAGAAAATTTAACGCAATATTTTCTTGTTTTTTTTAGTAACCTTTTTATTTATATAAAATAAATGCAAAGTATATTAAATAATAACAAAATTGGTTTTACAAAACTTAAAATATCTTTTTGTAATTATTTCATTCGCTTTGAATGTTGATAGTTTTCGAGGATATTTTTAATTAAACAATGTATATTTACAATTAAACTAAAGTTTGTTTGATAACTATGCTTTATTATGATTACCAAATAGTAAAGCGATTGTTTTAAAAATATTTCGTCAGTCGTCAGTCATCATTTATGAGTTTGATAAAGAATCAAAATGATTTTGGTTAATTTCATTTAAATATAATATTAATATTCACTTGAAAATAATTAATGTTAAATTCTGACTTTAAAAAAATTGCTTATTTTATATTTGATGTCAATTTGTGTCTATCTGTGTATGTGTGGGTGTGTCTTCGTGTGTTTGTGTGGATGTCTGCCTATGGCAACGTTACAACAAAACAGTTTAAACGATTTTGATGCAATTTCACACTTGAAGTCTAGTCTTTGTAATGGTTTAAGTTATGTTTGGTTAACAACCAAGCAGTGTAAGAGTTTTTTGATTTTTCCGAAATTATATAAGAAATTTTTTGATAAAATAAAATTTTGCTATGTACATATTTCAATATGAAATCCTTTCGTTTCCATTTAGATGTCTTTATATTTATATCATGCAAGCTATATTAAAGCCATCACGAAGTGGAAAGGTGAATGTAATTAATTCAATATAATGTGATATATAATGTTACTGAGCATGCATTCATTTTCATAAACTTTGCGGAAAGCGGAAACATTAGTAAAAAAATCATAAATGAAGACGATGTCAATTGATAGCATATACAAAATTTATCTACATTTTTCTCTGCATCTCATTTCAATTTACGAATCTATTCAATATTAATTAGATCGTTTTCAGTGTTTCGTCTGCACTTCAAATACAAATAAAAAATCTTTAGGTTACCTCAGATTTGTTTTCACTTCTCTAATATGTTAATATTGGATTAAAAGTTTCTTTATAATTAAATACAATTAATTCCTTTATTAAAAGTATGTTTTCAATTGATTTTTCGTGTCTGTCAACTAATTCTTCCACCGCGCAGCTCACCACTAAGACCACAGACCACTCTTCCAACTAGTATTTTCACGATGCAAACATTATCCAGTAAAACTTTAAACAAATTAGCGGCGACTGACATTGAACATGATTGCATTCACGTTGAACTCATTACCGGTAATTATATACATCCGTGAACATTCTGCTTGACTTAATTATTTTAGTATAAATAATTAGTCTAAAAAAAACTAACTTGTGCGTCTTGGAATACCTGACAGGAGAGAAAACTTAAACTATTTAATAAAGAGATTGTGTAACTTATAAAAGGTTTGAGTTATTACTTAAATTGATAATCTGTTTATGAATGAATTGATTACTACTCAAAACACTTTTGACGCTTGCGTGCAATACTGATGAGGTATACCTACCTCAAAGAAAAAGAAACCAGACTCATTGGCCACGTTAAGTTACGAAACGGTTTACTCTCCCATAAAAAGAATCACTTCAATAATATGACTTTGTTTTTAGCAATCCATTTTGAGTTTGTAATAGCATCTTAGTTGACAGAGTTTATCTATAAGTTTAAGTCAGGTTAAGTCATAATTAACTATAATTTTATAACATACCAATGTTAGATTCAGATATCCCTAATATATTATAAAAATACATATATAAGAATTAAATATGAAGGGTATATTATGTTTTACGACTTCTTCAAAGATTTCTGACTCTATATATACCTAGACATATCAAAATCATAATACTATTGGAAGTCTAGAGATGAAAATTTAAAAGAAATAATTTTATACCTTAATAAATATATTAAAAAACATGTAATGATGAATCTGGTTTATGTTTAAAAGTAATATATAAATTTACATAGCACGAATTATAAATTTGTTATATTATAAGTTTAAAATATAAAATATAAAATATTGTGTCTGATACATTAGTGCATATGCTAAAATGCACATTTGCAAGTATTTCGCTTGTGCTATAGAGGTTTTCTCCTCTAGTTAAAACGAGTTAAAATGAGTTACAACAAGTTACAACTTATGCAAATATAGAGTTACTGGATTAGAATATACTAGATTCCCGCAGCTTTCCCAGAAAATTCTAATAGCTTGGTGAAACTTTTGCATCTATATAAAGTTTGAGTGGTCTATAATATTAATAATTCATTTATAACATGAATTATATAACGATATCACAAACAGATTGCGTTAAAATGAGATATTTAATAATATATCAAAGAAACAAAAACCTTAAGGAAACGGATTTAATAAATCAGAATAAATCCCCCGGGGTTCATACAAATTGATGATGTTCAAAAGTGAACGGCTTTCGTCCCGGGATAATAACGCTACGTGTAATTACATCGATTTTTGTTTCAAATCCCAGAATTCTCGACCATCGAATCTCGTATTTTATGTCGTAGATATTTTCAAACACACAATACATTTTCCTAGACATTTTCCGATATTTATTTAAAAGTTTGAGTCCAAATGTCAACCATGAGATGAAATTGATTAACATTTACCTTTTTTATTATATAAACCAGATTTTTAATATAGGAACTTATTTATTCTTTTCTTGATTAAATGTTAAAATATATTGTTTACAAAAAGACTCATGAAACTTCTTTACAAAGTTGGATCCGTGCATAGAATTGTTTACAAGAAATTTTAAATAATCTGAACTGTTTAAAAACACAAATAAAGTCTGAGAAACTCAACTTAACAATGCAACTGTTTTGTAAGTCTATTGTTTGTTGGCATTTAAATTATATTTTCTGTGTATGTTTTAATTTTATGAATACTATTATTTTAAACTTAAATATATTAAATATTGTAAATTAATTTCAAATTCAATACAATCTACGGATCCCTAAAATTATTCGTTTTAATATATCTCGCGGAAGAGCTGTAGCCGGCAATATTTAAAAAAATGTTCTCATTATTCACACTGAAAAAGGGTTATTTTTCAAGTGACAAGCCTAAACCAAAATGCGGGAAAACTGAGGAATACGCAAAATATTATAAATTCTGTCCTGGATTCATATCAATCACGTGAATTAATGCAATGCTTTTACCCAAATCTATGGTCCGTGAGCAAGAGGAAATTTAAGTTCCACATATTTTTATGAAAGCAAGGCAACAAACACATTTGTTAAATAAATTACTATAGATGTGAGGTTTTAGTGAGAGCTTGTGTTGCTATCGATATTTAAATGAAAATTAAAAAGGAATTCATTTAAAATTACTGTTGAAAATATATGCAAAATGTTATTTTGGTTGAGTTATTCGATTTTTTGTTATTTAAATTTTTATTACAAATAATTGTTTAAGTTTTTATTGCAAGTCTTCGGAATAGAACACGCAAGAATGTAGCTCAAGTTTATTATGACATGCGCTTGTTTGATGTTCCTATATCAATAAAATTTATATTGACCTTAAAACTTAAAGAATACTGGGTGTAAATAAAACTTTATGCTTACAATAAAATACATTTATTACAGAATATATGATTTTTATTACATACGTGCATGTCCTACTTTGGAACATTTTTAAAACAATTTTATCGACAAATTCCCATCACTAAAGCAAAAAGTTAACTCTGTGCAAAGTGATGCATGAGGTCGATTTTTAACAACCTCTAAAGGTTACAGAAAATACAAAGTACTGAAAGCAATCATTTAAATTCCAGAAGCTTCTCACCTCTTCTACTGAAAACAATGTTGTTGACTTGTAAAACTAATTTATGGAAGAATCTCGAGAAAATCGTATTTAAGTCAGTCAATGTCCGAGTGGGAAAAACTAAAGAATGGGTCTTTAAAAATACTTGAAACAAAAATTATAGTGGAAATAATGTCTTACTTTTTAAATAAAAAAACAGAGCAATATTTTTAACTTCTTATTCTAAAGTAAAAATAAGAGTCTCTTTTGACATAATATTTGATATACAATTTCTCTTTGAAATTTTTATTTAATTTTGATCTGAAATTTCATAAAAATATAACGAAAAAAAATTCGTTTATCTTTAAGCAAAAATTTACAAATAATTTTCTCAATCTGTTGAAAGCTTATTTTTATCACAAGAAAAAACTCCTTTACTAAGTCTCCTTTGTTATTTTATGATAATCGTAACATAATAAATTTTTACTCGAGACTAAAGACAAGTTAATCAGAAAATTGCTTTCAAATTGTCCTTACACTCCGTCCGGAGAAACGGAATTAAATAGAAAAGAAATCATTTTGTAATTAAAAACTTGAAATAGTAATCGTTACTAGTTAATGATCCACTAATGATTACATGAGATATTACCGATATGAAATTCAACGGGTCAGTACATAGAAGTTAGTTTTAAACTATGTATTGTCAATTTTTAAGAAAACTGTATCCACTATTGAAACAATATTTTGAGTATATACAATACTAACTGAGTTTATTAAAGTTTAAAGCTATATCCCATGAAGTCGTTTAAAAGTAATATTGTATAAGTGAAATAATAATAAACTCTGTGCATAGTTGTGCTTATTCGAAAAAGACTACATTGTACACTTTAAGTTTCAAATTCTAATAGAATTTGTCTGAATGATTTTTTTTGTTTCATAATAATAACAAAATTTTTATCATCATCATCATCATCATCAGCCTATCAGAGTCCACTGCTGAGCTGCCTCTTCTCACATGGAGAAGGTTTTTGAGCATTAATCACCAGGCTTGCTCAAGACGGGTTGGTGATTTCAAACTTATAATTGTGAAACTATAAGTGCAGGTTTCCTCACGATGTTTTCCTTCACCGTATGTCAGTGGCGTCTAAATACTCGCAGAAAGTACATATGACTCCGAAAAATCACATTGGTTTGAACCCGCGCCCTCGGCAGCGAGAGGCGGGCCCTGTGACCACTAGGCCACCACTGACTTTTAAATTAATATATCATTAATCAATAACTTTGTATCACTAAAAAGGGGTGATGATTCTTGTTTAGCCTTTTTTGGATTTACAGAAATAATATTCTCATCACCACCAGCCTATTGGTGGGCACTGATGAGCAAAAATCTTATTTCACATGAAGAAGATTAGAGCATTAATAATCAGACTTGCCTAAAGCGGATTGACGAATAAATATACCATAGAGTAATTTCTATTAGATTTATATAGCTCTCTTTATATTGATATCTTTCTTTCAAAATATATCCAGATCATTCTATCAGATCTTTAGAAGTTTAAAAATCAAGTTTTGACTTGTTTTTTATTTGTATGTTGTTTGTTTTGAAAAAAGTTTACATAATTTATTTCATATTACACATCAAATTTATTTTCTTTTCTTCAAAAACAATACGAATAAAACTATTTCCAGAACTTAAAAGAGTCGGTTCATGAAAAAAATTAAACATATTTTCTTTGATAATTTAATGAAATGGCATTGGGAAGTATAATATCATTTAAAATCTCAGTTGCCTTTATTTTGCTCGACCTATTTCTTTGAGATAAGGCTTGTGGTGCAATGAGACATTTATTTAGCCTTTTAGTAAATTGTATTTAAAGTAATACAATACTTTGAGTATATTTGAAAGATTGAAATATAAATAAGTTGATTATAAAGAATTTACCCATTAATAATTAATGAGTTTACGTAATTAAATTTAAAGTAGTATTACATATGCGTTTAGATAGAATTTGGGAGGCGAGTATGACTGTAGCTAGTACAGATAGGTTTTAACATTTTAACTTCCTTATATAAAAAATGTTTATTTGCGGTTATTTATTTTTCTTTCTTTTTGGTAATTATTACATAATTAAAGCACATATTTGTATAAAGACAATTTCTAACCATCAAATTTATCATCCGCTTTTATTTTTTTAGTTGAGTAATAGTAAGAAAAAAGACCTCAGTGGTTCTTTTTTTTAATTCACCTAAATTCTTTTTTAAGGAAAGTAACAAAAAGAACCAAAAAACGTCCTCCATAATAACTATTTCTTTTCAATTTTACCTAAAAAAATGAAAGAATTTTATCACAATATATAAAATATCTGAAATATATATTATTAATATCAAATTAAATTTCATATTATAATATTTCCAGTGCGACCCAAACTTAAGTTCTGTCTCTGGTCACGTTGTTTATTTTATGCAAACATTGTATGCGAGATAAGATTTTTTAAATAATATTCCAGCTATCTGTTTATGATAGCTAGAATTTCGCTGGATATTTAAGATTTTGCATTTAAACTAATTAATTTCAGTGCTAGTTTGGCTGCAGTTCAAGAAATGAGGTCGTTAAAAATATTGTATGAATATAAGAGATAAAGTAATTTTTAATAATTTTCATTTTTCATAGTGATGAATGATTTAAACGGATTTAATTTATTAACAAGAGGTTATTAAAAAATCTTAAAACACTGTATAATTCTAATTAAGAATAGTGAATAAGAAATGTGTGAGTGTGTTCGTTTTCCTGTGTGTGATTTGTAAGTCATTTCAATTAGTGAACTCATTTTTAAAGTTCTATTTATTTGAGGCTTATTTTTTGTCAGTCTCCAGGTTTAAATGAATAAAATTTGTTGCCTATCTCATTGTAAGTGACATATCTGACCGCTGCAATTTAATAATAGCAATTTCGGTTGTAATTTCAACAAGGTTGCACAAGCCTTCACTTGTGTCTAATGACAATTACACAAAAAACTATGATGTCCACTTCATAAATGAAGTGTAAGTATGTAAGTGTTTACTTTCCTTTATTTTTTTACGCGTCAAAATGTTTTCCACATTTACCGTCAAATATTGGGTAAAATATAGGGTAATATATAGGGTAATACGTTCACGTAATTCACGGAATAATTTAGACAGATACAACGGTCACGTCCTCACTTGCTAACCTTTTTGCTTGGACCATTATGTGGTGTAAGTTACGGGATAATCAATCTTACTGCCTTGACTTATGGTGTAAATTAGGACCATCGTATACTTGAAATTAATTTCGGTACTTTAGCTTCGAGATGTTTTTTTAAAAGGGAATATTACTTATCTATTTTATTTGATTATACTCTTGCAGAATGATTAATTATTTAATATAATTTATACGTTTTATTTTATATTTACTAGTATTGTTATTAAATAATTTCCCAGTTATATATTCTTTTATTATACTCGTTTTTTCTCTATCATAAATAACCTCTTTGATGTGCTTGAGTTAGGTGTGATCATGTCAGAAGTCTCTCGCTCTCAATAGCAATCATAAGATATATATAAACTAGAAAATGTTATATTCTTTATACATATACAAATTCAGAGCCTTCATTAAGTACGTTCGTGTTTATAAACGGGCTTGGGGACGAAAAAAGTCAACTGAGTGATCTCATGTTGTTAATTATTCAACATTTTTTGAACACATGTTGAAATATGACTCCAAGTGCAAACCATCAAGGCCTGTTGAGTTGGTTTTGTTATTTATTATGGAGTACACTCTTATGTTTTAATGTACCGATGTCACACGATCTGAACATAAATCTTTATATCATATATTTATACTATAATTGAATCTTGTTAAAATGACTTTATACGTGCTGTGGTAGACTCTTGAAAATAAAGTCGTAATTTAAGCTACTGTAACCATTTTCTACTAAAATTTCTAAGTAAGCTATAGCAACCATAAATAAGTTATTTAAACTGAACTTCACCCAGTAAGATTAACAGAAGTTACATAAAAAACATATCATATATATAAAAAACTATTTCATGTTATTAAATATTAACCCTCAATTATGTTCTTTTTTTTAATCAAGTAATCAAACAAAGAGAAGGATGACTTCTTTAAAAATAACAAGCAAGAAAGTGGTTAGACCTAACGCAATCTATTGCATTTTCACAATTTACTTTTGACGATTTGAAATATTCCATCGACAGGTGAAATTTCTGACACAATAGACTGCTGCGTTAGTTTGCTCATGGTATCGGATGAAACCATTCCTTAAAACAAACCCTTGTGGGGACAATGCTATGTGATATTTAAGCACCTCAAAGATTTAATGAAAATCTGGCAAGGTTGTATCATGTCGTTCCTTATTTGTGGTTTGATTGACGGTATTAACCAGTAGAGTTAAGCAATAACTTAGGGGAGGTCGTGAAAAGATCTTACTGCATATTCAGGTATTCGATAGAAGAGCCAATATGATATCTGCGTCTCAATGACAAGAACAAAACTTAGACAATCCTTTAAAGTTGTGTTGTGTGAGTCCTTTCCCGCAGAGGAATTGCTCTCCTAGTGGAGAAATGCCCAGGACTTATCTATTCTATTCTATTTATCTATTCTGTAAAATTGCCTAATAAACTTAACCAGTGACATGTAGTTTTTTGGTTTAATTTCTTCTAGTCAATAAAAGTTTTTTATAGTATTTTATATTTTATCCACCCTTTTTTAAGAATTATCCGTAGGGATTCCAATTAGGATAGTACATGAAAATTAGACATTAATTATTCAACCTTTGTAAGCCTAGCTCCGTGTCAATATACATATCTTACAGTAATATTTAACCTAGCATCTTAAAAACCGCAAAATGGTTTTAAACTTTTATAGAGTTATAAAAACACTTCCAAGACTAAATGGCGCAACCCATCTCTGTATATTTGCAATAATGGCTCCCAGCTAAAACCTTTTACGCAGTTACATAGTACGCACTCCAAATAAATGTTCCAAAATGTCTGCCAAAAGGAAAAATATTGTAATGATACATAGCCTTGAAGTGTTTATGTGTGAAGCTCAGGAATTACATGATTTATGCTCAGTTATTTGTGAGTTATTACGGCCTAGCTCAAAGCCAGGTGCTATAATGAACATGTTGATTCGTACAATCATTAGTGTCGGTATGACGTCAAAGTTTATTTGATTGCCTGGAAATTAAATGTCAATGACATTGCGTATTTCTGGTAAACGAAGGCTTATTTGATTAATTACTTTCCCATTAAGGTGATAAGTTTGTCCAGTTCCGAAGTTGATGAATACTCATCGTACAAAACTATTACCTGTCGTACGTAGTTTTTTTTAAATTAAATATTCAATACTGTGCCATTGTATCAAAAGTAGTTATTCCGAAACAATCTTGATTTTTCAGAATACAAGCAATATATTTTAACTTAAATAATTTAAATTAAGGCTTATTTCCAGTAAAAATTATGTATTAACGAATTTCAAAGCATTTTGAATATGACACTTTAAATATATTGACTATCTAGTAGAGATTATTTTTGACTAATGTCATTTTAAATAAAATCGATATAAATACATTCAAATGTTTTAAATTCCAATTTCTTTAGAACTTAGATTTTGATTCAACATAAATAAGTGAAAGAATATTTTAAAGACGTTATTTATCATACTAACTCCATTTTATTTTAAGTTCTATTTCAAAAAGGAGCTCAAGTGTCCATAGCTACAGCGAGACGAGATAAGCTAGTGATCATTGCTTTGGAACACGGTCGCACGATTTTAGGTAGCGTTTACATAACCAAGAGGAAGCTATGACGACATAACTACATATACACACAATATTAGAGCTCAATTTCGCAGTAAAAATATGGACATTTTTATAATACTGTCTCCTTTTTTGTTCCCAGGTGTCAGATGACATCGGCTATGTGGTGTATTCAGCTCTAGGCAGCTTCTATATACCATCATGCATCATGGTGTTTGTGTACATAAGAATATACTACGCCGCGAAAGCACGAGCGAGAAGAGGTATTAGAAAAAATCCGCGTCCACGGCCGGTAAGGACGAAGTTTTTCTACTAAACTACTATTATTAATGCTAGTTTTATACGTCTATTACTATCTAGAGTTCTCTCACGTAACTTACAGAGTTCATAATGTGATAAAAATATGTAGAGGTATTTATTGCTAGTGCCTAGTATTTTTTGTACTCTAAGTAATGTTGGAAATAATATTGGCATTTATTTTCTTAACGTGGATGGATTTTGTTACTTAAATATGGATAACGGATAAAAAAATCATGATTGATACCCACTTGATTAAAATCTGAACGATCTAAAAGGTTAAAAGAAGATTAACTATGAAGGTAATTATTTTGTGAAACTCAGCTTTGTGCCTCCTTTACATGTAAGATTGGAGTACAATACTGGCAAATTATCCTTGCATTTATTTCTATATATAACTAATAGTATCATAAAATGTAAGAATCCAATATTTGTCTATGACAGTGTTACATACAGCTTTTGTTTAACTTCTCCATCCTTGTAGGCGCTAGTTTAATAATATACTTAGTGTTATACCTCTGATGCTGTTACTATTGTAGACATAACAGTCTCTATGTTTTTGTTTTATAATTGAAAAACATGTAAACTTACTTACGACTAAGTTAAGATAATTCAAGTTACATGATAGTAATGTCAAGGAGATTTTTTGTACACCAAAGAAATTACAAGTCTTCAATGTGTCATTTGCTCACTCAAAGATATCAGATTTTACATGTTTATTCAAATAGCACGTCCAAGTGTACTTATAGTAGGCTATCAGGTTTAATTACATTGCATTTTAACTATAATTTTATCAACAGAATGAACAGCAGACGAGCTTTTCAAACGCGCCGAAAGGCACGCGACCTATGCCGACATCATCCTCGCTGTCAATGCCGCCCGGTGTAGATGCCAGTAATTCTAATAATAATAGGTAACCATTATATGGAACAAATATTAAGAAACTAAAACATACTACAATATTATAATTTTTAGACTTATTTGTTTTAGAAGAAATAGTACTCCCTTTATAATTAAATTTTAAAATTAAAAAGGAGTAAGGAAGGTTCATTGAGATATTTAGATTGGACTATATGAGACATGACCCATGCGTGAATTTGGCCAGTCATATACACATGTACCATTTACCTGTACCTTTTTATTAAAGACAGCAGAGATTAAGACTGCTTTTTCCATTTCATTAATTACAAAGAAAACGAGAACGAAAATTTTCTCCGTTTGAGTAGAACTTCTTTCCCTCAATTAAATCTTTCTAGTTTTATTAACTTAACTCAGATCTTATTTAATTACTGAGTTCCCACTAAAAATTGATGAAATTCCACTGCAGTATTTCAACCGAAAATTAAATGACAAAAAGAATCTCTGTAAATCTGCAGATTGTTTATTTCATTGTAAATTGCTTTTCTCTTCACTTTGACAGTTAAAGTAGATTGATTGCAGTGTTTTAGAATTTCAACTGAACAATAAATTTTACAGTTAACCAACCCGTTTACAATGGCCTTGAATGAAAGGATATCTGTAACTTGGAAACGAATGAGATTGATGAACTCACAACACTATCAAAATAATTATTGTTCGTTATAGAAAACTCTTAATATTAAGCGAAATTAAATTGAAATCATTGTTTCAGTAATATCAAATGTTACAAAGAATTATAATTTAATTACATTATTTCATAAGCTTTGAAACTATAATGTAATTACAGAGAAGGTCAGATATCTACTATCGAGACACAACAAGTAGCGATACCAACAGTGACCTGTGACTTTGCCTCTGATATATCAACCAGCGAGGCAGGAGACGGCGGTGCTGTTGATGAAAGAAAGGACACATTAAAGGTTTATTCATTATCTTTAATACAAATTCATTTGTGGCACTTATACATATATGCAGGAAGATACAAGTTGCAAAAGTTTGATTTTAAATAAAACAAAAGATATATGCTGTAAGAGATTCGACTATGTTCATTTAATTGAGAATACGAATAAAGGTTGAAAAAACCTACCCAGCATTCATATCATATAGATTATGTAATGACGTTAAACTCGTCTTTGCGGTTAAAGGAACATACTAAAAAACATTTTCATTTAAATTAAAAGAATGATATACATATATATCTTTTTATAGATGCGAATAAAATAAAGCAGACAACTTGTTAAAAGTTGGTCATTGGAACTTAGACGTTTCTTCTTTTTATTAATAATACGAAAAAAAGCTTTTAAAAAGACCAATATATTTAAATAAACAAAATTAAAAAGGAAGCAACTAAAGGATAAAAATCATTCCTTGAACTCTATGAGGTTTCTAAGCTTTTAGCATTCTACTAAAGTTCATTTAAAAAATGAGAGAATTCGTTTTTTGTTGAAAGTACTATTTCCCCCGCTTTTCATCTTAATTCAAGAGAAAAACATTAATTGTTTCCCATTTAAGATAAAGAAAAAAAGTGCATATTCATCTGGGTGTGATACTTTTTATTTATTACATTGTCTAGGTTTTAAACTCACCTACCGTATAAAATGTTTCTTGTTTACGGCTTATTTGCTCGCTTTGTTTACAAAATACTTTAAATTCTTAGTTTTATTAAATATTTGTAATGTTAGTACGTTTTATGTAGAGAAAATTTTGAAATTTAAGCAGATATATCACTAAATAAAGGCATAACGCCAACAGGAATAAGCCATATTCCATAATAATGTGAGGTTGATTTACAAATATACGATTTGCATTGAAAGATATTGGTTTCGGCATTCAAATAACTTGGATGCAGTTCTGCTGATGCTCCATTCTTGAGAAAATTGAAAAATACATTTATTCAATGTATTTGCACCTGCAGCCGCAAATTCGATGTAGAATTCGTACGAAGATTTATTTTAGCTGAATTCTAATACGAACGTTCTTTCTGTATGTATGCGTTGCAAATATTTTAGAACGTCCTCTTAGTTTTATATGTAACATACAATAGGACTGTAATCTTTCCTATATACTTAAATACCATAGTGATAGAACATTTATGTTTTACAGGTGGTAACAGCGGCCCAAGTAACAAGAAATCCCCTCGCAGCATGTCCATACAGAAGTTCGACATTATCTGTGAATGGAGAATTACAACTCCAGGCACAAAGAGGCCGAGCTCCAAGCGTCGCAATAGACACGGACATGGTATCAGAATTAGAGCCTTCATCATCCGATTCTGGTGTCGTTTCTCGTTGTGCCGTAGTAAAACCTCTTAAGCTAAGAATATGTCAGCCGATATTCGGCAAAAAACACGAATCTTCTCGGAGACAGGAAAAAGCACAGCCAACTAAAGCAGAATTAGAACCAGCGCTGCCAAAACAGCATAAACCAAGGGATCCAGAACGTGAGAAAAGAAGATTAGCTAGAAAGAAAGAAAAAAGAGCGACATTAATATTAGGTTTAATTATGGGCAGCTTTATAGCTTGTTGGCTGCCATTTTTCTTCCTTTATATTTTAAAAGCAGCATGCAGGAGTTGCATGATACCAGCTAGTGCGTTCGCGATTGCGTTTTGGTTGGGTTATATGAATTCTGTGCTGAATCCTGTTATATATACAATATTTAACAAGGATTTCAGAAGAGCGTTTAGGCGTATACTGTTCAAGTGATGTTTAGCCTACCTGTGTTGCTATCGATGTGTGGCTAACAGGATTATGTTGGCCCAACAACGAGCGGCACCAGGTCTTTACAATGTGCGATAATCATTCACAGAATTTCATAAACTTTCATGAACTTTCACAGACTTTCACAGACTTTATTCTCCAATGCTTGGATTTACTGTGTTCATAGCTTCTGTAGATTCCTTGTTTCTTTTATTTTTTAATTTACAAAATAAATATTTTAAGTATTTTTTACTAAACCATTTTACAGTAGATGTTTTAATATTTTAAAAAAATGTGAATATTTCTTAGAATTTGTTAATTATAAACCAATATCTTATAATGAAAATTTGTAAATTGGCTAAATTTATCTTAGAAAAACTATAGAAAATAATTAAATTACGAAAAAATACTGCAAACACTAATGGATTTGAAATGTATAAAGTATGTTAATTCCTCCTATAATGTATATTAATTTAATCTGTAGTTATTGTTTAGCATTTTGTAGTCACTTTACGCTTATTAAGTACAAATCATTTATGAATAGTTAAATACCATTTTTTACAAATATTTAATATCGCTTCAACATCTAATAAGTATGTAGTTTTGTAGTAATTAGGCTGTGAAATAAATTTAATTTAATTTATCAATTATCATATATTTATTCTTTTAAGTTTAAGCTTGGTGTGTAAATAAATTAAATGTTGTAAAAAAAGAAATTTAAAAATTATATTGTTATAAAATAATAATTTATATTAATAATCAAATATTTATTAAAATACTTGTAAAAAATGGAATTCAAATCATTAAAAATCAATCGTTGTAAAGATATGGTGTTAGTGTGTGTTATAAACATTTTTATTTTATTATGAATTATATATTTCATGTTCATAAATAAATTTGAATTCATCCATAAATTTAATTGAATTAAAATGTATATAACACTACCTTTATTTAGACTTAATAAAACGACTGCCTTCGTGCCTACTATAGCTCTTCGTACGCACTTTGTAATTATCACGCCATTTTTTTTCTTTCAATTAATAAACACATAATTATTTATATAAATAAATTTTAATAACTTCTCTATTTATAATTAAACAAAATCATTGTTACCAATTAATTAAGTTATGAATAAATTCAAATATATATAAATTAGTATAAGTATAAGATACAATTTAAACAACCTGTATGACATACATATATTGATTGTATATAATGTAAATTAAATTATAATCTGATAAGTTTTAATTATAATATAAAAGAACACCAAAAAATCATTTAATCTTATGATAATAATAAATATAATTTCTATATAAATGTATACGTTCAATATAATGTGTAATTAATTAATTAATTAATTATAAGGATGCTTATTTATATTTTGCGATCATTACGATGTCGATCAACTCGGATTATCAACTGCACTGTGACTGAATTATACTTTGTATATTTATCCTCCTATGTAAATATTAGATATATTATATAACATAAAGAAAGTATATTAAAAAAATGACAACGAGTATTTAATTCTAAAATATAATATAATTAGAAATTTTATTAGAAATTCTCATTAGTGATAACACCATCGCGTAGATGTTAGATACGCAAGCAATAGATCCTTTTTATTTCTCTTAAATTAATATCGTCTTCCAAAGTGTGTGTGATGATAGATTATTTGATTTGTAGACACCAATTAAGTTGTATATAGCAAAAGTTTGTGAGGCGAGTGATATATTTTATTTGTATTGTCTATAATACATATTACCCAACGTTTAAAACCGCACAAGTGCATAGAGCCCTTGCAACTTGTGTCGATTTTACACAGAGTATTCTCCGAATAAGTGATGCAATAATTTTTAATCTTTAAATAAAATTTTTCGACTTATACAGGTTTTGTACAGTTCGTGTAAACGCCCATTCATGATATTAAATTTAGAAATTTTCGAAAAAAAAAATAATAAATAAAATTGTTTTATAGATATTAATAGGATTTCTATAATTAGTGAAATTGTTCGATACTGTTCTGAATCTATGATTTTTACACTAAAATTATATATAGCTTGTTAATTCTTTGATCTTTCATAATATATTATGTTGTAATAATATTTTTGTTTGTCGTTTAACACGATACTTATTCTTAAAGATTCAATATTGTAAATGAAGGAATATATGAAGTACCAATATACAAGTTTTAATCTTTATACGATCTTTTATTTATAAAAACCCTCTACGTAGTATTTAACAATTAAATTCACTTTTACAATATTCATATAGAAATTAAATTTTTTCTAAATAGTAAGAACATGCCGATTCAGTAGTGGCCTAGTGGTTAAAGGGCCCGCCTCTCATGCATAAGGCCTCGGGTTCGATCCTGGCAAGTTCCAATATGATTTTTCCGGATCATATGTACTTTCTAAGAGTATTTAGACACCACTGATTAATGAATCCCCAAAGAGGGTTGATGTCAGGCAGGCGGCCGGTCGTAAAAACAATTAGCCAAAACTATTCACAACATGTAAGGCAGACCCTGGCTAAATCTGGGAAATTGCCAGGAAGAAGAAGAAGATTTAACACTATCTTACATATACATATATATATTTATAATAAATATATATATATATATATATATATATATATATATATATATTTATAGTAAATTTAAAATATAAGCCAGATACATTGCAGAGTAGGGGTTTAGAATAAATAGAAAAATAAAAATCATAAATATAATATTAAATTGCAATATTAAGATTGGTTGTTTTAATTATTATTATTAATGTGTTGTGTTTATTTGAGTAACTAAGATTATTCGTCGTAGTAAATTTAAAAATAAAAGTGTAAATGTAATTATTTCATAAAAACCATTTATATTCACAAACGTTGGCGGAAGGGAGACAGTAGTTTGAGAGCAATTCAGGAAGAAGATTATCTAAATACAAGTGCAAGTTAAAGTCTAAAATAAAGTAGTGAAAGTATTTGAGGGTATTTTATTAGTTAAAAGAAAATGAAAAATGCATAACCCGCCAGCCTAAAGTGATTGTGACGGCAGCATTGCTGACGTCACACTTCTTAAACATCAAATATGACATGGAGCTTCGACGTATAATTTTACTGACGTTCTAGTCCGTTAGACTTAAGCTGAGTTTTGTATTTGTGTGAGTGAAAGTAAAAGTAGAGTTAGACAAAAAACTTTTAGAATTAAATTTTATTATATGTATTTTAAAAAGGTACATAACATAAGTGTTACAAAATAAGCAAAACTTGTAAAAGGCCAGATGGAAATATTATGAATATTATGGAAAAAAAAATATTGATTAATAAAAATGTTGAAAAAACTATACAAATTCTTATTCATTTGACATTGCATTTTCAACATTTGATTGCTACCAGTACAAAAGGTGAAGTGAGGAAGGTGCGGGGCGTAGTAAAAGCAGTATAAACCGGTTCAAAACTAGAAAAGAACGTTGCATTCAAAAATTTGACATCACCCCTGTGTAGGTGTGTATCCGTGTACACTCACACAAATGCAAAGCTCAGCTTAAATCAACCGCACTATACTTACTTATTGAGCAATAACAATACACATGAACAAACATAATCATTCCCACTAACATTAAGATGGTATGAGACTATAGTACATTTATAACAAAAGCAAATCCTTAAGATACCTCAAAATAGTTGAACATTTCATTGACACAAATATTCAAAGCACACAGTTGTAGCAAATATTGTAACTATTATACTCGTATTCGTGTACGGTCTAGAACAATACAATGTACACTGGTAGTAAGACAATTCTGTGTTAGTTTCTTGGTTCGTTTTGTGTACACTTAGAAACAAATACGTTATCAAACCGAGAAATAATCAATGTGTATAGAGTTAGAACAGTCTTCCTTACTGACATATTTCTTACGTGACACACGGACGGTGGAAAATATTGCGCATTTTAAATAAATTGCTTACAATTTCTACTTATATTTGGTTTTACGAGTTCAATATTAGATTTTAAATACTTTTCAAATAAGTTTATTAACAAATCAGTAAAGATCAAAACTAGAACAACAGTTTAATAAACGAGTATGTGTAGCTGCAACTCTGTTATTTCTCATTACAACAGTTAAATGACTCACTAACAAGACATTCAACAAAATATATTTCATTTAACTAACAAACTGTTCTCGAAATCAACACTAGCAGCCAACAGCATGTCTGAAACAATAATCTTAGTTATTTCAGAAACAGAGTTATGAATTGTATTATGCTATGAAAATTTGTTGGTTATAAATTTGAGAATAACTTTGTTTCTTACACTTTCATACCAATTTTAATTTGCCATGGTTATTTCACGTTTTAAATAAGGAAAAGAAATTATTTAAAAACACGATAAGTATAATAGAATTAAAGTCTTACCGAAAATTCATTTAAATTCATGAAGAGATAACGTTATTTCGAAAATTATTAGACATTCAAAATGATTTGATAGTTGATATCCTCAAATATATGTAATTAAACTTCAAAATTAAGCACTTATGACATGACATAAAATATTTATCTATCTATGTATATATATCTCATCATTCATATTAATATTTATATTTATATATAAAAACATAAATAACTCTAAATAAACTGTCTGTCAGTGTGTGTTGTGAACAAGTTAGAGTTGTCGCTAGGGAAATGCCCGGACGCGAACGTAATTGAAAACACAATTTGAAATTTATGTTCAAATCTTAATAAACTTTAGATGTGTTAATTAGTTCAAGAAAATACTATAAGTTGAGGTTTATGTATGATAGTAATATTTCATTGACTAGTTAGTGTTACTTATTTGTATGGAATTAGAATTATATCCAGTTTGGAAAATATTTTCAAAATAGTAACATATAGAGTTTAAAAACAATGTAGCTAGGATTTAGATCTTTTTACACTAAGCTTATACGTTATGTTATAAATTGTAAAATTTGAATGTAGTTATGGATTTTAGGTATATTACGTGGTTTATTTTA